AACATATATTCAATACATACTATATTTCTATTTATAATATATGAAATATATTTTGCCTGGCCAATGATGTCAGAGGATGTAACCACCTACAGCTGTTGGAAGGCTCAATCTGTGTTCACGCAAAGGAAAAATTCAGGGTGGTATGGGTACCATGATTGAGAAACCAAGATGATTTAGCAGACATTAGAAACAGGAGTATTAGGATAAACTGGGGGAGAAAATGGTTATTTCAAGACTTGTTAGACTAGGAAATTGTCTATCAAGGGAAATTTTCGATTTCTAAAAACACTCAGGCCCTTATTCAGGAAAATAGTTAAGTTCAATTTTAAGCACCTGTATAGTCACATTGAAGTCAATGGGACTAATCTGTGCTTAAAGCTAGTTGGTTGGTTAAGTAGCTTGCTAGATTGGGATATTTCAGTTTTCCTGTAAGAATATACCATATAGAATAATCCTGTGGTGACAGAATGAACTAGCTGATAGGAAGGGATGGATTAGCTGATTTAATGAGTGCTTCCAATCTCTAATTTTTCTGACGGTATAAAATTGTTCCTGGGCATAAATTACATACATATGTGCCACAGAGTTCCCCTTTATTTTTAAAGCACATGGTAGAGCTTTTTTCCATCTCAGATTTCTTAGGACAGTCATATGCTCAGAAATGACTGTGATTTGGGTTTACTACCAGGATCCACTTGGTATATGCAAGTCCAAATCCTGTCCTAAACTGCATTTAATTAAGCATTCTTGCCTTCAATGATGCTTCACACACACATGGGGAAGATAAAACCTTCTGGGCAACTTAAGTCAAGATTTTCACAATTTACAGCACACATCTTCCATCAAATGAAAAAAATAATTTACCCTTTTCTTCCACCTATAAAATGCTTTTCAGGCAATATCCTATGGCTATGCTTGTCTGAGAAAGATTTTAATTCTCTTTTGACTTCTTTCATTTCATGCTGAGGAGACAGCAACCAGTAAGGGGCCACACATTCATTTTCCATTGTCTGACTCCAACGTCACCAATGAAGACGAGCCAAAGAAAGAGCTAAACTTGTGAGGATATTTCTTATGCACCTTTTTTTTTTTTTTTTTTGCATGTGTGCAGTCAGCTCCCAGGCTCAGTTTATGTTTTGGCTCATGGAGCCAAATTAGATGCATGACTTGGCTTTAATTCTTAGCTTTCTTGCTTGCCAAGGTCTGCCAGGTACTTGCTTTATTCTAAAGAAACATGTCATCTGATAAATTAAATAAATGCAACATTTATAAGTCAAGATGATGTACACCATTTGCACTATACCAGCGACCATTGTACACTTAAATCCTGGACCTCAGCAGTGACTTTGATTTGTTAACTTCTCTGTGTGAAATACCACCTGGAACGAATATTCCCCAAAAAGATGGACTGCGGCTCTTAAGTTACAAATGGGTGGAAACTGACTAAGTTTTGACATCTCTCTTAAGTATAATGGGAACTAATTAACATGAAAGACTGCTGTTACTTGCAGCAGGGTAAAAATGAAGAGATGGGATACCTAGATCTCAATATTGTCTTTGCCGCTAACTAGTGATGCGACAATTTCCTCAAGTACTAAATACAAAGTTACTTAAGTTAACTTATAGGAAATACTGCGGAGCAGAAGTGTGTTTCAGACTCTGCTCTTCAAGAACTTAAGATATCTGTGCTGAAATACATGTTGGCTTCAGCACTCGGCTGTCAGAGCAGGGCACTTCACTGTCAGATAAGGCTTCTTTGACCATTGCATCACATCTTTTACCTTGACAACATGGAGTTTGGGCAGAAGGTTGCAGTCAGCAAGAGTCAGGTCATCTCCATCCAGAAACTTGCGTTTAGACACTTTCTCCTCTTCAGTGCTGTCTGCATCAATCTCCTCTGGCAGAGGGGTTCTCAGATAGTCATCCAGCTTCTTCAGAGCCTTCACCAAGCCTTTTTCAAGGGCTTTGCCAAAAAGCAATGAATAAGCAATTAGGGCAGAGTAAGAATTATTTAGAAACACTCATCGTCAATGGCTATGGTAGTATCTAGAAAAAAAGCCAAGAACCATTTCTTTGTTGTTAGTCTGTGCTCCAATGCCTACACATGACAAAGTAGCCCAGCAAAGGTCTGCCTGAGAGTAAAGCTCATCGTGCAATGGAAAACGGGGACACAGGAAACTGTTGTGCCATGTCTTCTCCTGATTAGGACAGAAAAAAAAACAGTGAAAGCGATAATGGAAGGAAAGAACAGCCTGTCAGTATAATACACCAATAAAGCACATACACCCTATGATATTATTCTGGTGTGTTGAGGCCACCACACAGTAAATTGGAGATCTGTATGCCACTACATTATTTTTCTAAGCAGCCAGGTAGGACTGTAATGAAGAGGAATTTTCTAGAATTACTTCAGCTCTAAAAAGTTGTAGTAGTTTCTACTTTTACAACCCTTCCAGAATAAATAAAGAGCAATAACTCCAGAGATGCTAACCAGAGCTCTATGGAGCTGGAAGATACACTACAACTGAAATGAAAGTAACATAACAATAATTAAATACAACACTATACAAAAGAGATGAGATATTCAGCCACTGTTAAGATCTCTCTCACTTGAGGTGCAACTTAGGTGCAAATTCTTTTTTTCATAGGTCTCAAATGGGGTGTCATAATGGAGAGGAGACTTTGGACCTCTCACTGCAATTACTAAAGACCATGTCCCACACTACTGCTGGCTCCACAAATTCTAGGCTTAAAATGCCAATTAGACATAATATACAGCAGAGCGTGAATTTTTTACTTAAAAATATCAACCCAGGGACAGAATTTGTATTCTTATGCTTTACCGGCAGGATAATAAAAAAAACTTGATTGCAATAATGCACTTACAGAAAGCTGAATGTCTGTACACAGACATGACAAGTCCCCCTAAAGTGCTAAAGCAATATAAATAAGAAAGAGCAAGAATTTACAATGTGAAAAAATAACAACACGACTCATGGGCTTAGGGCCAGAATTTCAGCTGGTGAAAATTACCTGCAGTGATTTATACCTGCTGCAGATCTGGCCTGGAGTCAGCATTTAATGCCTAATCCTGTAAAATCTTATATCTCTGAGTAACTTACTGCCATTTAACTTAGGGGAGACTACTCAATGTGTCAAGTTACTCAGGTGCTGTAGCACTACAAAGGCCTATGGAGATAAATATATTTATGGAGCACAAAGAAAGCTTCAAAAGACTGCAGTGATTGCCCTGCATAGAGCAGCTTGCTGGCACAGGTAGCTCCGCTGGCTCTGCTCTCAGCCGCCCCTGTGTTTTTGGCATGGAGAAAAAGGCGGCGCGTACAGGGCCATTGAGAGAGCAGGAGCCGAACACCACAGAACATGATTTCTCTGCTGCCCTAAACCTTGTGCCAGTGGTGGAAGTCAGATTAAGCTGCCTGATGTCTTGCTCCCACTGAAGCCTCTTGGCCAAGCACCAGGGAACTATACCAGCTCTTTTGTGGCTGACTCTTAGACACAGTGGCAAATCCTGGCTTAATTGATTGACTGAAGAAATGACGGCAATCCAACTGAAAACACCCCAACAAACATAGCATGGAGGGAAAGAACTTTATTTCTGAAAGCAGAGTATCTAAAGTGACTGAAGTGCTGCCATCCATAAAACAAAAGTGTTGCCATCCCTTATTTAATCAATTCAGATCGAATTTTGACACTGACATTCTGCTGTCAGATCCTGGCAGTGGTGTCTTTAATCGTCTGCAGCTGTGCTCCGCCGCACAACTTCTACTGAAGGGTAATAACTGCATAGCTTGTAATATACCCTCATGTGGCAACACTCAAAAGATTTAGCAATCTCTTTTTGGTTTGACCCATAACACCTGTTGAATAGATAGCTCTCCTTCTCTTGGTCAGCCTCAGACTATGTCCTCTTACAAGGAATTCATTTAGAGACAATGGAATTGAATTACTGTGATCTAATTCAATTTTGCACATTCAGATTTTAGAGAACTGGCTCAACGCTGAGCATTTTCCAGTATCCCCTTCACCCAGTAGGATCGTCGGTTCTCTGAGTCATCTGTGCAATATTTCCAGCGTCAGTACTACATTAGATGCTTCATGCTGGCCCATGGGGTCAGTTAGGTGTGTGTACGAAGACAGGAGCATCAGGTGGGATGTGTTTATGTAACTTTTCTGGAACTTATTAGGGTTGGGGTTTTTTTTTCCTCTTATTGATATATCAAAGTGCGTCATGGCTGTCTCAAAAACAATGCCTGGAGTGAAGCCTACTTGTGACAGTGGGAAAAACATCTATCTGAATTCATACTTGGCACTTGTATATAACAGCTTTAGGCCAGAAATAAGTGTATATTCAGGGTTCAATGCATCTATGACCTAATTCACAGGCTCTGCTGGAACCCACAGGATCCTGACATCTCCCAGTGAAATCACCGCAAGGTCAGGACCATCTCATATCCTGATAGTCAAGAACTGGACCGCTGCTTGTGACTCCAACAACCCCATTTAATTAACCAAAACTTTTCTGATCCTAGTAAATATCTCAGAACAACCATGAAAACAGAAGAGTAGTGAACAAGGGAGAACTGCCTTTCTTCCAACTGAACAGTGACAGAATTTTGAAAAGCTAAGAGAATTAAGATCCAAAAATTGCCATTTCAAATGGTGTTTAGGTGCACAGGGTCAGATTTTTAAAGCCTGTCAATGTTTTTCAAGTAATTTCTTAAAATCCGTATGCAAATATCCATGTTGCAAATCCTAATTTCTAGGTACCCTGACACATTCGGATTTATCTGTACGATTTGAAGTCTTAGGTTCCTTGAGAAGGTGCTCAGGGAAACCCCCACTCAGAGTAGGAGGACGTGTAAAAGAATCTCAAAAATATTGAAGCAAGAGGCTTCTAAGCCCCACAACCCAGAGAGACCCAAATGTCTAATGCTGGTGGTAGAACCATAGAAACCACCTTATGTTTGAATGCACCAGTGATGCCCAGAAGAGAGAGGTATCAAAAGCAGGTCAGTTTTTAGTTTCTTACAAAAAATTTTGGGCGACATGCTGTGGTTTTACCAGTGGTATAGGGAGAGCATTTTCCTGGGAAGTGGAAGACTGTGTTTCAAATGCCTTTTCAATGTGATGCCAGCCCAGATCTGCCAGATGAGACTCCACCGGCGGAGTATCAAGTAATTTGTATGGCTCTCCTGTTGAACTGTTTCACTTTCCATAAATAACTCAACATTCAGTGGATCATGACTGAAGGCTGGCACCACAGGTAGAAGTCAGAAAAACCAACTCTCTCATTTTCTCTCTTATCTGGTTGATACTTAAGCATTACGTGAAAGGTGAAAAAATATGAACAGAGACCAAGAAATAACCTCCTCAGAATATCCTCCAGCTCTGAAGGTTTTGGGAATCTTGCTGAGGAAAGAGCTGTCTAGGTTCATATTACTGAGCAAATCCAGCAGAAGACAGATTTAATTCTAAACCTCCCATACTATGGCTATTCTCTGAAAATCTGGATGACTCTATACATTGTCTCCACAGAGAACATAAGGGACAGCAGGCACTCACCAGGGCAGGGGTCTTGTAAATACCAGTCACGGCATTAAACTGAATGAAGAGATGTTAAAAGATGTGACTAACTAAAAAGTGACTAATTCCCCATTTGTGACCGTACTACCCACAATGAATTTCAGAAGTGGCTAAGCAGCTAATTCCCTTGGCAACTTATCCTTTTGGAAACATCTATATAAATAACTACATAGGTTTGCTGATAACAGCTGAGGCTCCATTGCAAGTCAATGGGTGGGATTAATCTTCCCTGAAGTGAGTAAATTAAATGAGTAGGTTTGAATTAAACACCCTGAGCTTCAGTGGAGTCATCTTTTCTACACTTGGTTTAAGTGACCCCTAAATCAGCTGTGTGGAGAACTTGTCCTGAAGTGTCTACTCTCAGCCTTGCATTGTCTTGGTAATGTCAGGGTGGAGGATTCAGTATTACACCACCAAGTGGAACTATGCCTAAGAATGTGGCTCTGTGCTGCTTTTGAAATTTCTACCTCCAATTGCTTCCCCACCCTGCAAACTTTCAGTATGAACTTAGGGATGCCAAATGTGACCAGCTCTGTGAGAAGAGCCCTGTCATCAGGTTACCCTTGCAACAGCTGCAATGTCTGAACTTCTGGAAACCATCTTGCTGGACAGTGAAATCACCAAGCACAAAGGCACCAGCACCATATTGCCTCCACAGTGATGTATTTAGTATAACTTCAAATTCCAAGAAATTCTACCTGTGTATGTGACAAAATCCATGGTGGAACCATCTCTCTCACCCTTCATTACTCTGCTCTGGGCTACGTACGCAGCCAAAGACAACCTACAGCAATCACAGTCCTGCCGTGTCATCTCCCCAATAGTAAACAATGATATTAATAAAAAAAACCTCACAAGCTCTTTGTGATTTTCCTTCTCCCTTCAAACCTATGCTTTTATACAACTTTACTTAAGAGTCCTGAGTTAGAAGCCAGAAAAATAGCACTTTCCAACCTCAAAGCAACCACAGAACATTTAATGAATGTATTACCATCTGTCAAATGCACAGGGTGAGGTTCAATTTAGCTGATGATACCTAATTCACAATGACGCTCTGTTTTCAGCAAAAGGTTACTTGATGTTGAACAATGAGATTAACAAATCCTGACATGCACAGAAATACAAATAACGTAACAAAAATTAATAATTGGCAAAATTGTGCTCTCAGTTACACTAACATAAAAGAGGAGTAACTCCACATTGTCAACAAACTATTCCATATTTACTCCAGTTCAACCAAGAACACACTTTGGCTCTGTTACTCAACTCTTCAAGCAAAAACTTCCTTAAACTATTAGCCTGTGCAACTATTTCCAGGGGACAAAGAGAAATCTTTGTGTCTTGAAGTATTTATACCAC